GCAGATCAAAAAAAAAAAAAAGAAGAAGAAGAAAAATCCTACAAAACAACAGTTACTATAAGGAAATGTTAGCTTAGTAATTAGAATGATCAAGAACTGCAATGTCCAATGTAATGGATAAGTAAATAAAGGAATCAGATTTACATATATTCAGATAGGCAAAAGCAAATTCAGAGGATTTGCAGAAATTTACTTAACCTCTGAACAATTATTTGTACTCACAGGCTCTCGTAAACATGTCGATACGGCCATCACAGCAGCTTCAATAGACGCGTCTTCTCCCTATTTAATACATAAAAATTCTCTTATTCAGTATAATTGTTACTCGATAAAAAAACCCGTCAGAATGAATGGAAGAGTTCGTTCATAACCTTTTCTTTCCAGTAAAATATGTTCCCATATTTTCCAGCTAACCGGGTCCAAAAGCTGCGCGGTATGTCCAAATCGACCGAGGCCCCAACATTGAAATTAATTATATTTCCTGTACAATAAGCAGCTTTATAAAATCAAGAATTCGCAATCTAAAGAAGAGAACACTAAATTCAAAATTCGAAAAAATACCAAACGTGGGGTCAGCAACAAATACAATAGTACTATCATCCACATTCCAGAAATCCTTAATTGCTAACCCTAAACAAGAAAAAATCGACAAATTTCTGTTTAAAATTTCAGAAATAATTTTCGGAAGATGAACGTGTTATAATAATTTTATTAATCAGCTTGGGATATATATACCGGGAGTATCGGGATAATTTTGAGCCAAAACTCGTAACTTGTATCCCGTGTCTTTTTCGAGGTCATCAATCTCTTGTGCAATCCTCTTTTCCTGCAAATCAAGTTTCAAAGTAGTAATGCCATTTTTTTCAGAAACTAGCTTCATTTACGTGTACGATATACCAATGTAAATTAGTATCATTTATGTAGTAATATAGACTCGACTAATGTATGCTGCAATAACATTGTGTATAATCTGTGAGTTTATATTATAGAACAAGCAAATCACAAAGAATCTACCCCTGAAGTTCTGTCTATTTGAAAAAGAAGCACAGTTATCATCCAAAAACCACAAATGCCCACTCGAGTGTTACAAAAAGGCTATATTTTTTGCAGTGTTGAACGATAAACTGTGCAACTTTTGCAGCTAATGAAAACGTCCGTGGTAATTTTTGTAATTACCCCAGAATTAGACGAAAAATCGTTAAGTTTCAAGCGCATGGCCGGTATTACATGGTAAATACGACGTAATTGAAAGTGTGTAACTTTATTTATTGAAAATATATGTGTTAAGTAATTACAATAAAT